GATAACAGGTCCCAAGGTGGATAGATCTGCAAACGGAACACTCTGGGGGGCCTAATGGCTCCGTGTGTACGATCATTTTCTGATAACGATTGGAGTTAGCTGTGTATGATAACTCAACGAAGGACCCTATTGGCTCACAATTCACTAAGAAAAAAACATGAAGGAGCTAAGGAAAAAAATTAAAAAAATTCCTGTGTACCAACTTTGCACAAAAGCTCACAAGGCAAGAAAAAAACAATAAAGTAATTATCATGAAATTAAAGGCCACTGATAAGATGTGAAATGTAATAAGAATGTAATGAATGTCAAAATGGCCCTGAAAATGTAGTAACACGTGCTTTTGTGACACGTATAAGGCTATTTAAACTACATTACATTGTAATTACATTACGTTTTTTATTCTAGAGCCCAGTCCCATTGTGAATTACTGGCGTTGTGCCTTCATCTGAAGTTTTGAAATTCAAAGCTTTTATATAATTGTCATTTGGCCCAGCATTTATCCTTCCAGATGATACCTCCATAAACAGTTATTTCTCCACCACTGACCAAACGCGAGAAATATACCATCCATCATCAACCCTCATTTCATTTGAAGCCTGTTTATTTTGCACAGCATCAACGTTTCCTGTGCAGCTGTGGCTGTTGGATGCGAATGAGTCCAAATACTCAATGAGAGGGAGTCTGATGTGAGTGGACCGCCGCGGAGCTGTCCAAAGAGACACAGACCCTCCGTCTGGACGGTTAGAGGGAGAGATTGACAATTTAACTCTTTCATCTCTTCTCTCAATGTGTTTCTCTCAGACAGCCAAAGTCGATATGCTGTAAGATATTTGTTATTAGAAAATCAGAAATCTTTTCTTCGTCTCGCAATGAGGACATTTAGGGGGTTACAGCAGCAAAAGGCCAGCACACATCAGCAAATAAGTACACAATGGTACAAAATAAGCAGCAGTATTTAAATTGTAAAAAAACTAAAAGCGTAAATGAGTTTCTGTCTGCCTTCGATAAAAGATATTCTCAAAATGCAAAAGGTGCATCGGTGATAATATAACTATAATAACATTTCCTGGGAACGATGTTTTAGCAAGTTTTTGCGTATGTAGAAGAAGAAAATCCCCAAATAAAGGGTACTTTTGAGTCTAATGACTCTATGAAGGGCAAGTTTGGTTCACAATGCAACTAACAATAAAAAATGAAGAAGCTATAGAAAAAACAAAACATTTGTGTAAAAACTATGGCTGTTAACGATAACGCAAAAAAAGAAAATAGCGCAAATTAATCAAATGACTGAGTTTGACCCGGACTTCATGCCAACGATTCAGAAATCACATTATGATAAAGTTAGAGACCCTATGATTTTAATTTGCAGTTTGTCTTTCATTTAATAAGTACAACACCACACGTGTATTTGTTTTATCAAATGTATTTTAGATCATTGTTTTATGCGATTAATTGATTGACAGCACTAGTAAAAACTGTACACAAAAGCCAACTAGAGCTCACAAAATAATTATAATGATATAACAACACCGATGCACAAATTATAAAAAAGTTCCTTTAAATCTGATGTTAATTTGGAAAAGCCCCAGTGTCAGTCTCAGTCCAGTTCTAGTGACACAGAAATATAAACAACCACAGACCTTAGACTTGGACATACACATCATTAGTCGTGCACGACCACAGACGCCGGCTGATATTCACGCAACTGAGCTTTTAAATCCTTCCTTGTGCATACACACACGTGGATACACATACAACAAACACACACTCACACACACATTAAGCAACCGAGCAGTGTGCAGCCCTCCAGAGTGCTGTACTGTCATTTCCATAAATACTCTTAAAAGGTGCAGCCAAAACCATGGAAGGGTGCGATTGCCTCTCGGCTAGAAACGCTACAAAAAAGCTCTTTTCTCTTTCAAGAGACTGTAGGAGAGGATGACCCACTTAATCGAACAATTTGGAGCGCCTACAAATGTGTGTGTGCTGCTGGTGTGTGTGTGTGTAAAAAGGCCTCCCAGTGCCGGGAGACAAACAATAAACAAAACCAACGAGCTTATGGTTTTGCAGAGACATGGCTTGATGGCTGTCTTGCAAGAGTTACTTGTGTGTGAGTGAGTGAGTGTGTGTGTGTGTGTGTGTGTGTGTGTGTGTGTGTGTGTGTGTGTGTGTGAGGGTGTGTCTCTGTGTGAGTGTGCGTGTGTGGGTGTGTGTGTATTCAGAGGAGAATTATGCCCTACATTTTATGAATCACAGCTTTTTTTTATCACCATCCACAGGTATGTTTAATGGTGGGAATGCAGCGGAGAGGGCACGACCAGCAGTTTTATTTTAGGTATTTTTAGCAGCATCTCCCGGTGTGTGTGTGTGTGTGTGTGTGTGTGTGTATGTGTGTGTCATTCCCAGAGCTACAGCAGTAATGAAGCCTTCCATCTGCCGTTCAGAGCCAAGGAAAGTGGAGTGGGGCTGATTGAGATTGTGTATGCCTGTGTTTGTCTATGTGTGTGTGTTTGTGTGTTGTGTAGGGGGGGGTCAATCTTGGTTTAGCTCCTGATGTGACCCATGCCAATATTTTTAATGTATTTGCTCCCCTTTTTTTGTACACAAAAATCTCTTCCCTGCAGAAAGTAATAGTTCATTTTCACTGCTGGCTCATGACAATTTCTCCTTTAACGACAAGGCATCATGGGAGGAAAATCACAGAACTCCCTCTCCCTCTTTTTTATCCTCTTGTTCTTTTCCTCTATCACTCATTCTCTCTCTCTTTCCAGCCATTCAGATCCACTTTCATCTCCTTTTATAAAGCCATTAAACATCAGGCGGGGGTATAAATCTAACATGTGATTGCTGTAATGGCCAGCGATCGGCAACAGGAGCCAGACGGGGGTACGACTCCCGCAACAGACCGGGTCAAGGCTGCCTCTGTGCCACGGACACAATTAACAGCAATGTAACAGAGCTGGCTAGTTTGACATGCTACTCATGCACGGAGTACAAGACACGGCACAGAGGGGCGAATCTCCCCGGCTCAGAACGCGCTGTACACACACTGAGAGACACAGGCTGAATAGAACACTAATGGGATTCAATTTTCTTGGTCCTCCAGAGCTCCGCTACGAGGCGTACAGCCTAACACAAATATCACTCACAGGGCAAAACACAGAGAGCCATTCACTAGAGGAAGGACAATGAATGCAGGCACTTTGAACAGCTCCACTTCCTACACGCTGTACAGTTTAATGGAAACACTCGCTCTGCTAGGCACCAGAGAAAGCGTGTACCACTGAAAGTCAAAATGTCAAGGAATTTGGAAATGTGCAGTTATAATTGAGTGGTGTCAGACACAGAAGCCACTGTAATAGATGCCAACACTCCATTAAGCCTTTAATTTTTTGGGGATGATTGTATAATTATCATATTTTATCAACCACCATTTATTGTCATGTGGGTGAATGGGATGGGATGATTGTCTCTTGGGAATTGGAGATGTTTCAGTAAGTGGGTTAGAGCGTTGGAATCTAATGCAGTGGTTGATTTTTTTGATGTCTTTTTAAACCACTCAATTAAAAATACACTCAATTGAATACAACTCATCACATTTTTTTGGGAAGACTGATGGCCTGATTGGGATTCACAAAACTTCACAGATGTGTAGAGATAGAATTAAGGCATAGTCCAAAAAAGGGGTCGGAGCTGCTGTGATGCCATTGAAAGATTGAAAGAGTTTTATTGTATTTGGTTGAAGACAGAGTTCTGAAACAATTGAAACACGTTCTATGTGGGAACTTTATGAATGCAGTCCTGGACAAATGTGTTTAGAATGTTTCAAAATTGCACTGCCTCATTTGTTTTTTCTCTGTAACTGTTATAAGCCTACAAGATGAATTTAAAGTATGCCAAATTTACGGTGGCCGGCAGGTGCAAACGCGGAACAACGGCCAAAAACGCATATATAAGCAGGAAACAGCTGCAAATAATGAAATGAAAACAACCCCTGAAAACAAATACAACAAAAAAACGCTGCATTTACAGAAATTATGCAAACTAAATACAACACACACACCCCAAAAACAAACGCAACAGAAAAACGCTGCAAATACAAAAACGATATGCAAAGTCAAAAACACATACAAACCCAAAAACACACAGTGCTCCACGCCTCTAGGGGGCGCATTACGTGGAACAGATTGATGTCTGACCAGACATAGAGAGAACGAACGAGAGTGATGTAAATTGAAGCCGGAGGAAAGAAAATTGATTGAAGTGGACAAAGGCTGCGTTTCACTTCGGTTAAATGGATCCCTTGCGTCCCTCACTTGCGTCGTTTCCCTGCGACTAGTCCCTCCAACCAGGGAAGCATGGAGAGATGCAAGGAAACCACGAGAAGCAGGGAAATGAGTTCAGTGTTTCCCCTAGGATGGAGTCATAGCAGCGGTGCTAAGGCACGCGGACCCAGCAAAATGTGAGCGTGGAGCGTGTGGACATTTTAAGTGTGTGTGCGCGTGCGAAGTGCGCCCCGCCATTGTGTTTCTATGTGTCTGCCAGCACAAGAAAGACACATACATCATTAAAGGCTTCAAATGTATTCAGTATTGTATGAACATTTTATAATTGGTGGTTGGACATCACATCCTCTAGGGGGGTCCGGGGGTATGCCCCCCCCCCGGGAAGATTATTTTTTACATTTTAATATAAAATGCTTCAATCTGGTGCACTTTGAGCACACAATGACTAGAGACTAGATCTAACTCTAAACACCCATATGAAAAAGATCGTTTTACATTTTAATAATCAAATAATTTAACATACCAATAACCTACCATGGCCAATAACACATATATGTAACTTATTTTATTTTTGTTGTTCATTTACATCACTTTCATCTGGCAATTTTTTTTGTTTAATATCAGGTGTCAAAAGAGCATGGCACCTACAGTAGTAATGAATGTGCCAAATGTCTCCACTTCGTTCCACTTCCCCAGTGACTTGAATATCTTGGGTTCTGCCAAGGGGTTTACTTCCTTAGTTTTTCTCTCATATATCATTTGTCCTGCCTTGTTTCTTGATCCATATATGTTTTTGTTATGCTCTATACATAAAATGACTTGACTTGATTCGATTTAGTGATGATGGCACAGTTGGCATCCTGCCTGAGAGCACTTTATTTTTCTGGGGGTCTTAAAGAATAGCTCTAAGGCTCTCCTAAAGGGAAAGTCTCTGGTTGGGGGGCCATTGATGCTCAATCGCATACAGGTGGCAAGGTGTTCCCCCTGCAAGCGATTTCTCAAGTCAGTCTTCACCTGTAAATACAAACATAATAATCAACAGACAAGTGGATGTGGAGCCCATGGGGTTGAGATTTGAATAAAGTCAAATAATGATATCACTTGTTCAAGTATCCTACCCGGTTCAATGTTGAGAAATCCCTCTCACAGTTTACACTGGAAACTGGGATGGTCAGGCCAATGGCAGCCAGCTTGCTCAGAGATGGGTAAAGCAGCCCCCATTCACCCACCTCTGATGCCAGTTCCTGCATCACCTGCTGCTGATCCAAGTCCTGAGACACATGAAACACAACATGAACATCAATCCAGGCTATAGAACTCCTGAAAAGGAATGTTACTGTAATTCATTATGATACCTTGAATGGCCCAACTATCAGCTGCTGTTTAAAAGAAGACCATTCCTGCAGCACCTCATTACAGTCAGCCTGTAGAAATTTGCCGGCAAGGAGCTGCAAATTGGCTACGTAAATGGCCTCATCTCCAGTTGCTGCCTGAGGGCTCAGCACATGGAAGGCCCCTAAAAGGTCCAGATTCTGGAACCTCCTCTCCAGGCTCTCCAGCAGGCCATCGAAATATGGATCCATCACCTAACCATAACAGCAACAGATTATTAAACTGAAACTTGTGTCCATATTCAAACCACTTAATAGGCATCTAGTATTAACAGGATCCTCCCTCTTAAGCACCTTTTGTATTATTGTTTGCTACGATTGCACTTTGACTTTAGCTCTAGATTATGCTCTTAGTCGCTTGTTTAGAAAGGAGATATACTTGTGAGTTCTGGTGAGTAGAAGCGTCTGCTAAATGCTAAATCTAAAACAAACATACCTGGCTCCTGAACCGGCCCCAGAGCTCTTCCCTGGTCAGTCCCTTTCTTGGCCCTCTCTTGTTCCTCTCCTCCTCATGGACAATACTGTAAGCCCCAAGTCCCGCAGGGTTGTCCAGGTCTGCGTGGAGCTTTGAAAGGAAAGACCCTGGTGGCTGATGGTCTCCAGCATCTTTAATTGCTCGGAGGCAGGCCATTGTCACAGGGACCTAATAACAAAGACAGAGTAGGTGTAAATGCAGCAGCAGCAGATATCTGGTTAGTATGAGCAGTGTATGGACAGTGGTGTCAAAAATAAAACATTGGAAAGTATACCTGCACTTTCAGAGCAAGGAAGTTGACATTTTCCTTCTGGAACAGCCTTGACAGCCTGCTGATATGTGGCAGCACATCTGCTTGCAGGTAGACCAATGCCACAAAGCGGTAGGTGGCCAGAAAGCCATACAACCCCTTGGCTGTTGGGCATTTCTTATGCTCCGTCTCCTCAGCCAAAAGCGAAAGCCAGCGTGTGTCCTTCACTTCCTAAAAATATTTAGAGCCACAAGATGAAAGCATATTAAGTCATATCAGGTGCCTCCAAATATGGAAGATGTTTTTTCCCTTTTAAATTACCTTCACTTTCATGTTATCCAGGCCCAAGCACTCTGCTGCAGCCTGGAGTACTGCTGTGCGATTCACACTGTTCCTGAAGTACAGGTGTAGCTGCTGTAGAAGGTCCCTGAAGGAGTTCATGTAAGCCACTCCTGATGAGGCGTCCTTGCAGCACAGGGCGAGGCGGTGTGCGGCACATGCAACCGACACCATCCATGGGAAGGTGTCCTGTAGCTGCTTGGCCACTCCATTCACTCTCCCTGTTTCAGGACAAACATGTTTTAGTTTTTAAGCTGCAGTGAATATCAACCTTGTTTTTGTTGTTAGTTCATACCAGTCATGACAGCTGCTCCATCTGTCCCCAGGCCATAAATCCTCTGGGTGGGAATGTTCTTTTTTGTGAGGATCGTTCTTATTGCCTTGACTATGGTGTCAGCTCTGCCATCGCTGACTGTCACCAGGTCCAGAAATTGGCTGTAAAGCAGCCCATTTTTGTCCATGTATCTGAAGAACATATTAAACAGTCAGACTGACTCAACAGATGTAGGTTTTTGGGATAAGCCTTATTTGTTTATTATTACTACCCAATCAGTGGCGGTGGAATATGTTGTTGCCCAGATCAGATTCAATCCAGACTACGTGAAAGAACAACAAGCTAGCAACCGCCAACCAACTGTGATTGGTTTAAAGAAATAGAGCGTTTCCCAGGTCCCAGGTTCCTAGGTCTGGCTATGCAAGACTATATGAAACATAATAAAGACAACATTATTTTAAGTCTTAATTGTTGTCATTCTTGGAATAAAATTATACCTAACGTGAACATCGAGCTGCTTCTTCACAGACACATCTGTGGTCTCGTCCACCTCAAGCCCAATTGCCACAGAAGCACTGATGTTTCTCAAGATAGGCTCTTCAACGACACTGCCCAGGATTTCTAACATCTCATCGATGATTCGGTGAGATGTGTAGTTGGTCTTCCCGATCTTAAAGAAAACAAATGCATTTAAGATTAAATATTGCACACTTTTTTTGTGATGAAGTTGATTAAAGAAAGCATTAACTTACCTTTAACTTCTCAAAATACTGGCAGCCAAGTAGTTCTGCAAGCTCCAAAAGGTCAGCATAGTTCGTATGGTGAGCATGTTCCTTTTTCGTGAGGTGGTAGAGGCACTTAAAACCACCAATCACCGCTTCGTGTTCAAGGGTGATAACTGGGTCAAAGGCGACCAGCACTGAGGACCCTGTTGAAAGGTAAACAAAATAAAAATAAAAATAGTAATGTATTATAGCCTACTGTGTTGTTGTACTATGTTGACCTGCTGAGGGACTGCAGATGAAAACTAGCTTAGGTCTACTAGCTAAATCTGTCACATTTACATTGATGTAAAACCTGATATGTTGATTAATGTGCATTCTTTTCTTTTAAATAAATAAACTGAAACAGTAGGCCTACAGTATTAGTGAATTTTACCTTGAATCAGTGCGGCGTGTGCCTTCACACTCTCTTGATGGTGCTTAGTGGCAGCATACTTATCAAGGTAGTCGCTTCGGAAAAGCATGCACCCAACCTCAATAAATGGCCGTGTAGAAACCCCCCGCTTCGGTGCTTGCTTGTGTTGGCGGCACAAGCGGCAGAACATTCCTGTCGGGACAAGATCTTTGATATATATTTTTTTTCTTTAAGAGGTTGTGGCTACTGTATGATCGTTAAAACATCTGAGAGATCAAGCCCCTAACTGCTCCATATGTTAGATACTCACCATGGTTAGCTGTGTTGTACAGCCAAGGTTTGAACCTCGGGTTCTCCATCCACCCTGGATCAAATCCTGATTGCCGGTGCCCTGCTCTTTCTGATCCTCCTACCTCTGACCCTCTGACAACAGCAGCTGCACCTTGCTCCTCTCTTCTATCCTGACCTGCTCCTTCACCTCCTCTGCTCTGGCCTACTCTCATCGCATGTCCGGTCTAGTACGAGATATCAGTCAATACAATTGTAAATTTAAACAACTACTTAAAAACTATTTCCCAAAAAGTGTGTATCCATTTGCTCCCCTTTCAAAACATTGCTGCCAGACAACAGAGACCCACCTCCCTAACTTCACCCAACTAACCTCCTCCTCATCACCACGATCATCACTTCTCTTTCGTTTGCTGACAATCCAGCCTTTTAAACTCATCTGAAAATAACATAAGATGTGATGAACAATCTATTACACTGGGTGTTAAAGATCAAATGCAAAGCTTTTTGTATAATTGCCAGTACAATCGAAATCATATAGCTACAACACTATCTAAGATATTGCAGTATTAAAATCGGAGATAATATGAGTCTGGCAATGCGCAATATTAATTTTGTTCAACCCCCAACACCAAGTCCGACGATTTATTTTCTCCGCCGCTCCTCCGCAAGATGGCGGCGCGTGACGTCAGATGTGCCAAACATATTTCCACCTGGCTTATCAATCACAGCGGCTTCCGCCGATAGTACAACTAGTTTCGTCTATCATGTCTGATTCTGAGTAGACTATAGACTAAAAGCTTTAGGAATCCAAACTATAACATATAATAAGTACCCTGTATCAAGATTGATGCAAAACAAGTGAAATTTGACCTTTTTAGAGAGGTTTAGAAAAATAAAGTCCAGGCGCTCTGAGTGAGCCTCTGAATTAGCCCCGAGTGAAAAATGCTGGCAGTGGCTCACAGCTACTTCCGCCGATAGTACAACTTAGTTTCGTCTATCATGTCTGATTCTGAGTCGGAGGCCACCCAATATCTGGAGAATGTTGTCGACATCCAACCATATCTATACGAGCCTCTGATGTCGAAGAGGAAATACAAGGAAACGTCACCTGATATCACCGATGAAAGTGCTGATGGCGATGATTCAAGTTCGCCATCTGAGGAAGAGGCCGAGGGTGCTGAGAATTGGTGTAGATGTGGAAACTGCCAGACCATGCCTACAAGCCGAGAAAACAAGTGCTGCCACAACTATGGGAAAGTGAAGGAAGAGATGGGAGAAGAAGTCTGCATCACCGACTGTAGGACGTTCGACATTTTTCGTTATGAGTGGAGGAGCGATGAATGAGCTGCAGATAAACTACAATGCTAAGAGTGAATTAGCCCCGAGCGAAAAATGCTAACCTATCACTCCTAGCGCCCTTATTACTTATCCTAGCTCCACATCCAACACATTGTTTATGATCGTAAAGACACAGAATCTAACGGTGCCCACCTCTATAAGCAATACAACTGCAATTCCGTTATCTGCGTTATCTGCTGTGCTCCGTGCGCTTTGAAATCTAATCAAAAGTTGTTTACCTCAATTCTTTGGCGTTTCTGCATCGGCTCTTTCGTTCTTTCAGTGGTTTCTTGTGCTGAAATATGGAGGGGACGGCTCCGGGTTTCAGCCTCCGACGTGCTATTAATGCTTCTCCACCAACAGACTTCATGATAGCAGGATCAACGTCGTATGCATCACACGCGAAGTGGTCAGAACACAACTTGCTCCATTTTGTCGGTTGCCATCCAACACGATTCACTAAAAAAATAATTTTTTTGCGGATGATTTGGTCTTTGGGAAATGCATGTAAAACTCTCCCAGATCCCGCACCGTTCGTACAACAAAAAGCTCAACAATAACCCATGTTAATTCAGTTTTCTTTTCGAAAAACATGTGACCGAGACTGCCGAGTCGGGATATTTGGTCCAGAGACTGTTTGGCCACGATTACGTCACGCGCGCGGAGGCTGCTGGGAATTACATGTCAGAAATTCAGACGGCTTTGGGTCGAGTTTTGGATCAATAAAAAGCTTTTTTTTGGGTGTATTATCTCGATTTAAATTTAAAAAAGAATACAGGCAGTCTTAAAAACAACATTTCTATAAAAATGTAGCATATTTGGAAGCTTTGCATTTGATCTTTAACTAGCTAAACTAGCTAAGTTAGCTAGCTGTCATTCATTCTTAACTGTAGGCTTTTATCAAAGTATTAATTTACTTAATCTAAATGTAACAACATTTTAAATTATAATAACTTACATTTATGGCGTTATGACCTTCTTCTTCTTCTTGAGGTGATTGTGTCCAAATAAAGTTATGTCTGCTTCAACTTGCTGTTGTCTGTCTTGTCAGGCAGCTTTCCTTCAGCTCTGAAAATGACAGCTTTCCCGCGTATCGGTGGCGCGAAAAGTTGCCGCGAGCGCTAGGGGGCACTTATACACATTTTTTTTTTTGTATCTGCTAGCAGCGGCGCGCATATTTCAGCAGCGGCGTTTGCATAAAGGGGAAACACTGGAGTTTTAAGAGCAATGGGACGTACTTTCCTCCGGAGCGTCACATGAAGCGACGTACGTTTGTGATGACGCCGCACAGCTGATCGTCTGACACGAGGCTTGTTTGAGACAAGCGAGACCTGGGTTGCATTCCAATAGTCCATTTAGCTTAGGAACCTTCCTAACGGAGTGAAATGACCCGGAAGTACGTCACTGGCAGCCATGATAAGTGCCGTTCCAATTCTCCAAATGAAAGGAAAGGAGGTTTCAAACTTCCTTTATAACCTCCTTTAGCTTAGGAACCACTGGACCTCCCTAACCGAAAGGAGAGGAGAAAATGCTGCCCCACAATGCATTGCAGCCGCAGCATTTGCCATCACAACAGTCGGCCGTTCACGGAAACAACCGATTATGACCGAGAAATGATATCATGAAAGTTACGGTGCTTATTAAGCATTTTAAAACGTATGTGGTAAGTTGCCAAAGTGCTTTTTTCTGAACGGGTTTGTTCAACTTTTAAAAGATGTTTGAATGGTGATATACCAACTCAGTCTCACGGCATTTCGTGTTCACCAACACGATTTTTAATCTATTGATTCGTGTTCACCAAGACGATTTGCCCCTTTTTTTCGTGTTGCACAGCACGATTTTAAAAGCAATGTATTTCTACTGCCTGCAGCACGTCTTTTTCTCCGGTCGGGTCGAGGAAGACCGGAAGCTGTGTGGTTCATAAAAACATGTTAGGCTTGTTTGAGACGCGTTGCGGCTCGCCTCGAAAGTAGACGAGAATAGCCGATCGCAGCCGGG